GGAGCGAAATATCTAGAGGAACACGAGGAGAATATAATTAGAAAAGGGAAAAGAAATTCATCAATTATGAAGCTCAAGGCGCTATGGAACTATAATAGATATGAAGTGGTCAGAGGTATATGGAAAGGAGTGATGGTGCCAGGGCTGTCTTTTGGCAATGCAGTGCTGTGCATGAAATCAGAGGTTCAATCAGGATTAGAAATTCGACAAAGAAGCGTAGGCAGGCTGGCACTGGGAGCACATGGAAAAACACCAAATGAGGGAGTACAGGGGGACATGGGATGGTCGTCTTTTGAGAGCAGGGAGGCAGTTAGTAAGTTGAAATTTGAACAAAGGTTGACCGAAATGGATGATACGCGGTGGGCACGGAAAGTATTCAAATATTTGTACATGAAAAGTTTAAACACAAAATGGACAAACCGAACCCGAAAGCTTACATTTAAATACCTACATACTGGTGATGGGGCTGAACAGACTACTTCAGTGAAAAAAGGGGTGAAAGAGGCAGAGAGGAAAATGTGGGAAGAAAGAATGCAGGATAAATCAGCTCTAACAGTGTACAGGTCACGAAAGCAGGACATAAGAAAGGAAAATGTGTTTGACAACTCAATAGGAAGTTCTTTGCTGTTCGAGGCGAGAACGGGGGCTTTGAGGACGAGGACGTATAGGGCTAAATTTCAGGAGATAGACACATTATGTGCTGCTTGCCATAATGAGAGTGAGACACTTGAGCACTTGGTATTAAAGTGCACGGGGCTTCGTCCTGCACTCCCTGAAGGGGTAACAGATCTGGCCGGGGCCCTGGGGTTTGCTGGCGACGATGGAGGGACGGAGGAGAAGAGGATTGCAGTCACAAAGAGGCGATTAGAAGATTGGTGGAAATTATCTAGGGAAAATTGAATGATACAGAACTAACTAGCACAGCTGGGGACAGGCGGGACAGAGGAAAATTGGGACTCCCTCCCGCGTGGCTCCGGCCCAAAGTCTCAACCCTGTCTCCCAGTGGGTCCGGTGCGGGGGTAACGCCGACAAGGTCTGACCAGAGGAAAATTGGCGACTCCCTCGCCGGGGGGAAGAGGCGGGGGGTGATGTTTTTAGTTTTTTTGCCCGATCCCCCAAAGGTCATCCTGGTGATATCCCACACTACCTGGTGATAGTTAGGGGGCAGAAAATTGGCTTAGAAGGGCGCGGGAAATCAAATCAAATGTTTGTCTTTCTTAGACTTAGGCTAGGTGGCGCAAGCTACCACCCGCTACAAAGGGTATAGCCAGTAACATCCATCCATCCATCCATCCGTTCTGCCGCGATCTTTTGCGATCTTTCACTTGGGACTCCAGATGTCGGCGCACAGGATTTGCCACTTCTTCTCACCCGCCTTTACCCCCTGAGTATGGGAGACCGCCACTGCAGAAGTTATAGTATAACCTCCTTGCCTAGACACTACGCGGGTTGGCTTCATCTCGGGCCACGGCAAAAAGAAAACCTAGCAGCTATGGTGCAAAAGAGAAGACCATCTCTTTTGATCATAGAGCAAGCACTCGAAGAGACCATCATGCTAACCGCTTCGAAGTTTTTCCTTGACAATGACGGCGCGCTGTTTTCTGAGGTGGCTCCGCCAGCTCCTTTTGCTCACCTCTCTTTTTGAGTGTATCTTGAGCTCAAAATTACTTAGTCATTTCAGTTATAAACATAAAAAATTAGTTTTTATTAATCAACGCAATCGCTGTAAGCCTGGTCCAGGTGCCCTAAACGCATATGTTCGGCGCATTGCAATTTGCACCGATTACGTTTTGCAGAAACTACTTCCACATGGTGTAGCGGTAGAGTGCAGGGAGCTTTCTCAACAGTGATATGTAACTTAAACAGGAAATCACAAATATATGGCTGTGGTACGCTAAAAAATGACGTTCACAGGAAGGAACACACGACGTTTCGGGCGGACGCTCTATTTCAAGTGATAGACACGAAAAACGGCGAGAAACAAATAAGGCTCGTGCACATCAGAAAAAGGGGGTAGGTACATTGGCCGAGAAGGAGGGGAAGGCGAACTGCAGTAGGGTGGAAAGTTGGGCTAGTTGGTAGTTATTCATCTTGGTTTTAAAAGCGCACAAAAGACGAGGACAGAGTAAGAAACACAAACGACGGACGAGCGTTAGGAGACGGAGTAAAACTTCTTCGCTTGTATTCTATTCCACTAAAAATAAAACAAACACATTTTAAAAAATAAAGAAAAGAAAAAGTCGGGACGCGCAAGTGACACTGGATTTCGAGGTTGCCTTACGGCGTCTTCCGCGAAAACAAGACACCCAGAATGGTCCTAGGGGGCTCCGGCCGCCACAACCACGACCCCAACGGTTACAACCGGCGGACGCGCGGTTCGGGATCAAGCCCAGGAAGCCCCCCCTTCCCCTCCCCCCGCCCCCCTCTCTGGGTGTCGGGTGACGCGTGTTATATCAACACCCTCTAGAAACGCATAAGGCCTTAGCTCTCTTCACGTGACGTCACACGATAGGGCGGATTGGTAAAAGTGCGGAGCGCTGTTCAAGAGAGGTTGTCGCACGAATTTACCGCGCGGGCACTTTTTTTTTTTTTCTTGCAAGAACGAGCATGCCTGTGCTGTAAAAGAAATTTCACTGGACAAAAATTATAGGAGCGAAACATTTATTTACACATTCCAGTTTCGTTTGTGTTTGCGTTTCATCAGGAGCAATACACTTATTTCTTCTGGAGAGTTGCGGCTTTCCGTTTTTTTTTTTTTTTTTACTTGTCAGCAGAGTCGAGAAGCTTGTCGTTTAGCTTTCCACAGAAGCTCTTGAGTAAAACGTTCGTGCTGCACCGAAGGATGTCTCTCAGCACAGATTCACTCGTGTGGCCGTTCTCGCAGGCGTCGAAGTCAGATGGCTCTTCGTTGGCCAGCAAATGCAGCGTCAGCTTCGTGATGACCTGGCGCTGTTCGGGCATTAGTAGCAGTTCTGGTTGCGTAGCGAGCTGCTCTACGACAACGTAGTTGTGAGCAACAGCATTCAGCGCAAACATCGATGGGTACACTAGACCTCCTCTGTCTAACTGCCTCACGAGATCATAGTGTTCATGGGCGGCAGACACTGTGATTGTCTTATCCACAGTCAACGTGTCCTTGCATTTTGCGTAATTCAACTTTTTGAGGGTCCCGTACACGGCATATCCTGCAACGTTAACCAGGAGCGGAAGAATGTCCTGTATCTTCGAAAGCGTCTCGCTGCTTATAACTAAGTTGCAGCTGGGATGCAATGCCTGTACTTACTCCGTGCGCATTCCCAATGCAGGTCAGTGGAAATAGTCGGCAAGGTGCTCTGAAGGCGCAGCTTGTTTTCGACTTCATAAATCTGCCTGTTAGAAACATGATACTGCGCACCTGCCAGTTGTCTATACTTTCCAAACCGGTCCTCTAGGCAGTCAGTTTGTATCTTACCAAAAAGAACATAGGTCATTTTAAGCTCTTTGAAGCTGTACCTAGCGCGCTCCGCAAGCGCATAGGTAGTGTGCTCGATCGCAGAGTGAGTCTCCTTTGTCAGAGTACCTTTGTCAAGGCCTTTGTTTTTCCACTCATCCAGCCATTTCAAAAGCAAGTGCAAGAAGTAAATTTTTGGATCGTTGTCCATAGAGAACACTGGTTGGTGGAACTGGTCTCTCAGCCTCTTTCCCTTCCACGGAGTTTTCACATTCACAATTTTCCACCGCTTAAGTATGATGTCAATGAAAGTAGCAGTGGCCTCAAATGAGAACAGGTTGTGCTTCGCTCCAAGGGCACGCAACGCCACAGGCAAGGAATCATTGAAGACTTGCAAGGCAAGCTTTACGCTCTGCCTTTCAATATTCGACGGGTAAAGGGCTTTTCTCGATAGCCCAAAGCCACATTTCAACAGGTGGTCACATTCTTTGCTAGGAAGGTCCCTGATTGTCGAAAATGACGCGGTCTGCATGCGCTCTGACTGTGCCGCATTTGTTTGCATCTCAGGGAAGTAGAAGCAAACTTGGTCATTCTTCTGGTTGATCTAGTTGTTTTGTATGCATTTTAGTATGTGTACCGGGTAGTGATGCAAAACTATCGATAAATCAACTATCGATTGTCGACTATCGATAGTACTATCGATAGTTTTTCTATAATCGACTATCGATAGTTTTTCGACAGTCGACTATCGATAGTACTATCGATAATTTTCGATAGTCGACTATCGATAGTTTTTCGACAGTTGACTATTGATAGCATCAATAGTGACAGATGGGCCAGTTGGTACATGACTAATTTTCACAAAGTTTTTCGATAGTCGACTATCGATAGTACTATTGATAGTTTTTTCTTACTATCGGTAGTCAGATTTTTGGCGGCTGTGGAGACTATCGATAGTACTATTGATAGTTTTGCATTACTATAGCGAACGCAGTTGCCGCATTGCCGCTCGCCTCCCTTCCTCCTCTCTTCGCCCAAACTCCCGTCTTCGTCATCACTGAAATCTGAACCAAAGTTGGGATGGTAAGTGCTCGGGCTAGTTAATGTCCCATTTGAAAAAATAAAGCGAGAAAAAGAAAAGAGGGACCGACGCAAACTACTAGTGTCGAAAAACTATCGATAGTCAACTGTCGACAGTACTATCGATAGGTTTACGATAGTCGACTATCGATAGTTTTCCGATTGTCGATTAACGATAATTTTCTGATAGTGGACTATCGATAGTACTATCGATAGTTCTTCGATAGTCGACTATCGATAGTACTATCGATAGTTTTTCGATAGTCGACTATCGATAGTACTATCGATAGTTTTTTTACTATCGATATTCATATTTCTGGCGACTATCGATACTACCGATAGTACTATCGATAGTTTTGCACTACTAGTCCCGGGTCTGTAACAAAAAACAGCGGCATTGCAGGGTCTGATGGGTGTTGATACAGAATGCTGTTAGAAGCGGGCGATTCGAAGTGAGACATTGCCTTTCTGCTCACAGAGTTGTTGTCACTCACGACGCACACAACGCGGTACCCAATCTTTTCCAGCCGCAAATCACATCTTTCAGCATCTTGTGCAGGAACTCCGCGTCTAGTCTGTGCACTGGCACGATGTGCGCAACTTCTTTGAATTGGCACTTCAGGCTGCGCACCATGAAAACGAGCGCACAGTTTGCAGCTTCATTTGAGTTAAGCGCAGCTCCGGTTATATTGCCCCCTTTGTATACAAAGTGAGGTTTGATGTGTATTTCGTCTACCATTACGGTGACGAAGCGCTGGTCATCTTTGAGGTCAGAAATTCTTCTCGCCATGTAACTGAGGAATGCTTCGTTCTGATGCTCTTGTTGAGGGCTCATGCCATAAAAGGAGCATACCGATCTGATCGTCATGGGATGCGGCAAAGTGACGCTTCCATGGCTGCGTATATAAGTGTACGCATGGGGCGATATGGTGAAAAGAATGAAACAGAACACCATGAAATCTGCAGAGTAGCGTCTGCGCTGTTTTTTCGCTGGGAACAAGCTTACTTGCTTTCGCAGAAATCGAATGGAGTCGGCGTCGTCTTCTGCGTGGGACGTGGACAACTGATCCAGCAGTAGGCAAATAGCCTCGAAAATTTCCTCGACTGAGTTGGAAATCAGGTTCCCGTCCCACTTCTCGATGCCTTCGAGGAGTTCTACTATGCCCTTCTTACTGTCGGCAATTTCTGGAACGACCAGATTTGCACCTAACTTTTTTACCGCCGTTTTCATGACATGTAGTGTCACGCTCATGTCTCGTTTTACGCAGACAGAGTACCTCAGCCACGGGGCCTCATCGTCGACGATGTGGATAATAACAAACCTTTCGTTTTTTTCTATTATGTTCCAAAACTTCATCTCCTTGCTCCGCAAGTGTCCGATTAGTTCTCCTAAAGAATGGACTTTGTCCTATTCGTGTGCCCTGTTAAACATCTCCTCGGACTCCGCGATAGCTTTTTGCATAGCAGCATGCTCCATGCGCGCCCGCTTGGAGTCGGGATCTTCTCTTCTTGTGGCTTCGCTCGACAGGTAGGTCGGGCGGCTAGGGAACTTCGACGGTACAGCGTCAGGGCGAAGACGGACATGGGATAAGGGCACTGTGATGATGCGGCCAGTACTTTCATCGGTATGCGATGCTTCTCCGATGATGTCCTCATGTCCGAAGTGAAGTTCGCATACCTAGAAAGGAATTTTGCGTCCAATGAACAAACCAATGGGTATTTGACATAAAGTGCGGATTGCGAGCCACATTTATACGAATGTATATACATATATTGAATTTCCATTTGCAATGAAACCATTATTATCTACCAAAAAGAAAGCTTACCCTTGAATTCTCGGTGACGGAGAGGTCTTCCCGCGGCACAGCGCGTATCCATGCGTCCCTCAGTATTTGATCCTTTGGGAACTTGAACACGTCCACTTTGGTGTCCACGGTGTAGTTTCCGCGGCATCGTGGCACACAGCACTTGCACGGCATCTCACCGTCGCTCTTTTCACATTTCTCAAGGTTGCGGAGACACTAAAAAACTCACAGCGACGCGCAAAACACGAGAAATTTGACAGAACAGATATGCACGTCGGAAAAGACACTCGGAAGCAGGCCGATTCTGCGGGGGAATGGTAAAGCTCACTGTTCAGCCGCACCTGCAATGGGGCGACATGCCTGGACAGGTCCGGACCCGTCGAGCCGCCTCTCGCAGCCGCCCCATTAGCTGACGTAGTAAGAGTGCAGAGGGGGCAGAGCCGAGGCTTTCTCCCTTTACAGTTGGTGTTGGTTATATTCGGAGCCGTTTGTTTATTTATTTATTTATTTTAATACCCTCAGGGTCAATTGGCATTAAAAAGAGCAATAAGAATTTAAAAAAAAGAAAGAAACGAAAGGGCAGAGCACATAAAGTATGAGGCGGCTCAGGACAGTAAAGAGTGTTTTTAGCATTTTTAAACATTTGGGTATCAACAATATAAATTACGGAAGTCGGAAGGTGATTCCATTCCAAAGACGTTTTAGGGACGAATGACTGTAGAAATGCGTTGGTACTACATTTACAAATTCCTGCTTTAAGGTGATGATCGATGCGAGGTGAAATGTAGAACGGTCGGATCAAAAGACGTTGCTTTTAGTAAGGGTTAGCGTTATTGAGGAGTTTCAGCGAATATAGGGGGCGCTCCGATCGATCCAACATGGCGGACAAGAGGGTGATAGATTTGCGACGCCCGTAGACCGGTAGCGTATAAATTAAACAAAGCGTGTCGTTCTCTGTTGCCGCGTGCGAGACGATCATCACTTCAACCAAGACCTACCGTGATGCTACAAATGAAGTGTTCAAGGCAGTCGAAGGCAAGAAATCTTGCCATAGTCGAGATATGTGTGCAAGTGTTCGACGTGAGCTATCACGTTGGTGCAGCTGTCGTCAAGTTGAACCGAATGTACAGTGCTAATCACACTTGTCTATAACGCGCGAGCGTGCGGCTTTCTCCTGGGAGCGCTAGACTGGTGGCATTCGCGGAAACTAAGCTAGTCACGTGGAGCAACATGGAACGGCCCGGACGAGGGGTGTCCTGCCCACTCTATCAGCTGGTGGCGAACGCCGAAAGCTGCTCGCACGCTTTTTACAAACATCATTGCTCGAACAATAAACACACTAAAGCATGAAAGCGTATCAACGATGTCGTCACCAAAAAACAAAAATATATCATAAAGCACTTTACTTTTATCGCTTATCAAGCTGATAGAGTGGGCAGGACACTCCTCGAGCGGGCCGTTCCATGTTGCGCCACGTGACTAGGTTAGTTTCCGCGAATGACACCAGTCCAGCGCTCCCCGGAGGAAGCCGCTCGCGCGTTATAGACAAGTGTGATTAGCACTGTACGTGAGTCCAAAGAAAGGTACTTATCAACAATGTTCGCCCGTTGAAACTATGACGCGTACTTTATCTGAAACTAAACTTATTGGTCTGCGGCTACAAACACTTTCGTTGACGTTGCTTTGATGATGTAACCATTCAGGCCTCGCACTCAACGGTGTTGCGAACTCTTCGGTTGTTCTAGTTAATCGTGCTAAAAAGCGGTTAAACGGAAAGTATGACAGTTACAACATACAAGGGACGATTGAGGTCTTCATCTTGCGTTCTATGTATCGAAACATCGGTATCCTTGGTGTTATATTGCGATCAGCTGGTCGCCGATCGTCCTGTTTTTACGCATAATATGAACAAGCCCCGAAAGCGCCAATCTCATTTCAATGTGCTTGTGCACCCTTACAGGCCTCCTTTCGGCTCTTGTGGAAAACTTTATGGTAATAGCAATAGTCTGATCGGTCGTTCGAGTTGTATGTGCCACAGTGATATCTGCTGTGTGTGATCTGCTGACAAATAAGTCTGCATTAAATGCCAGAAGGAGAACACAGGTAAAGCTTTTCTTAACTTTTTTTCTTTTTACAAAACAGGGCAAAGATTCTAAAACAAGAGTAACCTAAGCTGATACTTGAGTGGGCTCAAGAATGAATGGCAAAAGGTGATTATGCTAAGTGGTAGATAGATGTACACAGTTGATTTTCTTTTTGCCTCTGCATTGTAGATTGGAAGATATGTATCAGCAGAAGACATGTGCCCTTTTTACAATGTCTTTTATGAGGGCTAAAATAGGTTTTCATACACAACCGAAGAGTTCGCCACACCATTTAGTGCGAGGCCTGAATAGTTACATCATCTAAGCAACGTCAACGAAAAGGTTTGTAGCCGCAGACCAATAAATTTAGGTTTAGATAAAGTATGCGTCATAGTTTCAGCCTCAAACGCGCGAATATTGTTGATATGTACCTTTTTTGATGACAATTGCACCAACGTGAGAGAACCCACGTCATCAAACACTTGGACACATATCTTGACTATGGTATGGAAAGATTTCTTGCTTGAAGCGAAGATCATCTCGCTACGACTAGCTACGACACCCACCACAGCGATGCAGGCGTCAAAGGGGCGCAACGCACTCAGTCGCCGTCACCCGACGCTGCTCGTTTGGCATTCACGGCATTCCGCCCAGGTGCTTCGTTTGTACTTGGCACCGAGTGTTATTTTCTGTGCTTGTGTGTGTGCTCAGTGGCTGGATATGGGTCTCAAGAGCAGTTCTCCAGGCTCAACAGCATTCGTCGAAGAACTTCTGAAGAAAAGGTCACCCAGGAAAAAAAGCACGAAGACACAACGCACCAGCTTGGCGGACTATGCACTGGGCGCGGAAATCAGGCCCTGCGGGTTACACACCAAATGCAAACTATCTAAACAAAACAAAAACATTTTTAGGCTCCAATTGGCTTCTGCGAACTATATGCCTGGACACTGGTGCCCGTTATGCATTGCATATTCACTGCTGTTTGTTGTGGCTTGAAACTGCCTTCCTTTAATGATGCAGAGGGGTGAAATGAACCTTGAAATAAACATATTTAAGCACATCTAGATGCGATGTCCCTTGAAGCCAGCTGGTCAGGGAAAAGGTGTGCCATTACCTAATTTGCCAACAGAACACCAATGGTCACGATCAAAACTCACGGAGTCGATGGGCAGTTTTCCACCACGATATTTATTGTCGTGTAATCACCAATTCGGTCCATTAAAAACCTTGAGGCTGTAGCCTATAGCACACCCATTCTGGATCTGCAAAGCTTATGCTGTAGAAGTGCATCATCACATGAGCATGTTTCTTATCAATCTTAGAAGTAAAACGCTAGTTACGCAACGAAATTACCATATCATGACATTTTTAGCAAACTGAATGGTCCCACCTGTTACACTTTTAGCTTTGGAAGTAAACTAATTCACAATACCACCAGTGGCATACATCGTGCCAAGCATTAGTGCCGCATGTGGCAGCAAAATGTCTTGACTAGGGAAGCAAACGTAATCGACCGTGTCAATTAAAATACGGGAGAAATTATCAAAGAAGGTCACCCGAAAGGGAAGTTTTCTCGCTGAACGAACATGGCTTTTTATTGGGCGTTCCGCAACATAAGGCCGAAGACATTCACTCCGTGATCGGTACAGAAGCATTTGCTTAGTAGTCGGTCGTGCGTGATAAAAACAACAAAAACAAAGGTGGATTAGAAACGCGATAGATTCGCATTTGCACTCAGTACTTACACTTAAAATCATGTCAACATAAAGCGACTATGGCCCGCATTGCTTGCAGCAATCTTAAGATTTATCCGTGTAGTCGTCACACCCGTGCACCAACCGAAAGCGTTGCTGCAAGCCCCCCCCCCCCCCCCCCCACCCCGCCGTCAACTTTGAGTCGCTGTTGAGTCTGAAGAACTGCTCTATGAGGTCCATATCCAGCCACTGAGCGCATACACAAGCACAGGAAATAACACTCGGTTCCAAGTACAAACGAAAAACCCGGGGCGGAAAGCCCTGAATGCCAAACGATCTGCGTCGGGCGACGGCGACTGACTGCGTAGTACACAGGTTGCGCTCCTTCGACACCTGCATCGCTGCGGCGGGTGGTCGGGTGGTCGTAGCTAGTCGTAGCAGATCGTGTCACCTCTGTTTCTCGTGTCCGGAACACTAGAGCCGCAAAATATTCTTGCTGCCGAAGTTTATAAGTCTACGTTTGCGGCCAACGCGTTTACACAAAGCCAATGCCCAGCGAACCTATCCCCCTCGTTCTCTTTCGGCGACCAGCCGCCAGGGCGGTGACACCGTCGCTGAAACTCCTCAATAGATCTTGTGGAAAAAAAAAACATAAACGAGCAACTTGACGTCGGAGAGAGAGGTTACACAGGGACAAAGTGATTCTCATGGAGCTTACACTTCCTTTGCGGGGATAGTTATCTAGAATAAAACAGGCAGAACGGTTTTGGACTGTTTCCAGAACATTAATTGGATTAGACTGACTGGGGTCCCAGATAAAAGAAGCATGCTCTAATTTGGAGCGGACGAAAGGTTTATACGGTGTTAACTTTAAGGCTAACAATACGAGAGCAAATTTGTTTAGGTAATATAGCATGCGGTTAGCGTTGTTGATGACATATTCAACATGCAGTTTCCAGAAGAGGTT